AAATGGGATGATACGGAAAAAACTGGAATGCTTGCTCGTGTGTACGGCTAGAGTGCATTTATTTCTGTCTGATAGTGTCCGTATGCTAAGTGGGGGATATTTTGTGTCGGAGTGAATAAATTTAGTCTAAACCGCTTCTAGAGGGTTGTTTGATATTTATATTCTTTTAGTATGGATTTTCTAAAAGTTGTTGATATATTAAAAAATATTTATCAACATTCTTTCTAATTATTTTATACGTAATAAATTAAGTTCATTTCTTATTAGGGTGGGATTTATTAAAACGTCCTGAAAAACACGGCACATAAAAAAAGATGGTATAGGGATTTCTTCATGACTAGAATCTACAAAGAGTCGCATTTTCATATCTAGCATCATCTCGGAATTAATTTGAAATACTTCTATCGCATTGTCAGTTGTTTGGTTTGGTTTGTTTTACGGTATATCAATACCAATGGGTTATTTAATGCCGACAATATTTTTATTCCTGGTAATATTTTGTTTTGTCAAAAATCTATTTCTGGTAATATTTTTTCATAAAAAATGTATAGCTAGTAATATTATTTTAAAAAATGTATTTCTGGTAATATTTTTATTCAATCGAATTTATGACCTGTTTTGTTTCTTCATGTTACGACCAAGTTCAAAGAGGTGCCCCGATTATATTTGTAGATTTCTCCTAGAGAGCTATTCTGTCAGCAGTTAATTAATATTACCTGACGTGTTGCTAGCCTATGTTCTTGGTTATCTAGATTTCTGATCGCCTTAAAGGTGGTTGTTAAAATCATAGTGTTGTTGATAAATATTTGCTCCTTAAATTTGCTTGAAGATGGAAGGTAGGATTATGAGATTTTTTATTTTGTTTATAGTGCTACCTACTATTTGGAAGTTTTCTATCGTAGAGAATGTAAAGATGTGGCTAGTGATGACGTCTAAATATTGGCTCAATGGATTTTTCTTCTTCATCTAGTTATTGTTAGTTTCATATTCTAAGGTAAAAACATGTGATTAGTCCCCATTTTATTTTTTAGCTTTTGTTCGAACAGAAATTGATTAACTCATTTTTGTGGGCTTGTTGTAAACTTTAAATATAATCTGTCCTTATTTTGTGTTAATAGAATGTCGAGGATTTTGTTAATTTCATGCTCATATGTGAACTAGATGGTTAGTTCTTCATTATCGAGTCTCTTTATAATGTTTTGGTTTGGTTTGGCTTGGTTTGTTTTATGGCATATCAACCTCAATGGGTTATTTAATGCTATCAAAATTTTTGTTGCTGGTAACATTTTTTTCCTTCATAAATTTATTGTTGGCAATATTTTTTTCTTCAAAAATCTATAATTTCTTTACAAAAAGTATTTCTGCTATTAAAATCTATTTTTACACTTTCATAGTGTTTTGACCCCAGTTTGGAGGGCTATGATCGCCTACGTCCTGAAAAACACGGCACATAAAAGAAGATGGTATAGGGATTTCTTCATGACTAGAATCTACAAAGAGTCGCATTTTCATATCTAGCATCATCTAGGAATTAATTTGAAATATTTCTATCGCATTGTCAGTTGTTTGGTTTGGTTTGGTTTGTTTTACGGCATATCAACACCAATGGGTTATTTAATGCCGACAACATTTTTATTCCTGGTAATATTTTGTTTTGTCAAAAATCTATTTCTGATAATATTTTTTCATAAAAAATATATAGTTAGTAATATTTAAAAAAAATGTATTTCTGGTAATATTTTTTTTCAAAAATATATTGCTGGTAATAGATTTTTTTCCTTGAAAAATTTATTTCTGGTAATAAGTATTTCTAGTATTAAAACCTATTTTTACACTTTCATAATGCTTTTTACCTCCGTTTCTGGGTTAACCATTTGCCCATAGCTGGGATCCTAACAGGTGCTACCGCCCCTGGGAACATCAGCAATTAAGAGGTGGTTCCACGCTTATCAAAACTTCCTGATCAGAGGCCTTGCTGTTGGACGTAGTTTTTCAGGACGGTATAATGTTTTGATTTTCATTGTAAGTATATATTAGACGGATGTCATCTATATATCTGAATTAAGTGGACGTTTTACGTATAATGTGTTTAAATAGGCCAGACACTAAAAATTCTAGGAGCAGAAAAGTACACCGCTTATGGAGGACAAACAGAGAAACCAAGTATTTATTTGGAGAATTGTTCGTAGACAGAGAATTAGCAAGTATTTATTTGGAGAATTGTTCGTAGACAGAGAATTAGCAAGTATTTATTTGGAGAATTGTTCGTAGACAGAGAATTAGCAAGTATTTATTTGGAGAATTGTTCGTAGACAGAGAATTAGCAAGTATTTATTTGGAGAATTGTTCGTAGACAGAGAATTAGCAAGTATTTATTTGGAGAATTGTTCGTAGACAGAGAATTAGCAGTGGTTAGTAATTAGTGTGTAAAAATTTTCTCAATCAGTCCACAAACTTATACAGTCTGTGAACTAATTGAGAAAGTATTTCTTTGGATTTTGGGTAGTGGTTTCTTAATTTAATGCATAATTTTCTTACGGTTATGCATGTGCATAATATTTTGACATCTAAACTTACCATAAAATTGTTTTCCATGTTCATGTTACTTATTCGCTGTTTTAAGTCAACAGAATGTTTAATGTGTGTTGGCTTGATGGTACCTAGGGACAGAGTAAGAATTATTTTCAATTGCTTTAGCCAGTTTATGGTGGGGGTGCGATGTACTTGTCTGTTCCTATAATTTTTAGTCTTGCCGATTTAAACGTGTGTGTGTGTGTGTGTGTGTGTGTGTGTGTGTGTGTTTTGTGTGTGTGTTCTGTAAAAGCATTTTGTTTAGTAAACTAATATTTAGTAACAGAATTCACAAAATGTAAATCACGCCTTGTATTCTCGGAGCTGAATTCGTGAGCAGAGGCAAAATAATAATTTTAGAAACGAATAATTTTAGAAAACATCGATTTTTGCAAGTTATTGTTTTCAAAATTTGAAGCTCACTTTTTGCTAGATTGGTGCACGCGTGTGCCTTTTGAAGAACGTTTGGGATATAACAATAGTTTTATAGTACAACCAACCCACTAATCCAAAAAATATTACAAATAAAACATTCATATTTCGACTCTGTCATGGGTCCTTACCTATAACTACAGAATGAACTCTTCCTAACACTATGTATACTACGCCTGTCAAGAGAGAGGGTCGAATAAAGCCGAGCTTCTCGGCTTGACGGTCGAACTTTCTGCCTCTGAGCAGAGAGGAACCCGGACGAGGCGCCGCCTGTGGGCAGAACCTCGTTCGGGGAGGTTGACCAACCCGATCCCGTTTATACGGGTTCTAAGGGCATTTTTGGAGCGAGCCTACGGGCTCGGGAAACCCACGTTAAACTCGGCCTTGTGCCACATGCAACCCCTTGTGGGAGGGTGGCCAGATACCGAATCAAGCCGAGCTTCTCTTGTTTTGTTACTCTCCCGTTTGAGAAAGCTATTCCTGTTTACTGGGACTATAAAAGGACACTTATATGCGAACTTTGTATTCTCATTTGAATAAAACTTACACCTGCGTACATTTGTGATTACAGATATATTATTTATTTCCCGGTATTCTTTATTCTTCCGGTATTAAACGAATTAAAATCAACTGTATATTGGCCAGTAAAAATGACTCCCTCTAAAAGACCCAAACTATGATATATTCTTTATTCCCCGTTTTTATTCAATTTTTATTCCCTTTTCTTCTTTTTTTCCAGTTATTCCCGATTAGCATACTTGTTTTTCATCGACATCATAATTGCTCCTGTCGTGTCTCTTACACACTTCTACATAAACCGGATGTTGTCCGCTTGACGACCCAAAGCAGAATGCGAAAACGCGTCTCTGCGCATCATGGCTCAACGCATGTTTCCGGTATTAAATGAGATAAAATGAAATATATATTGGCCAGTAAAAATGACTCCTGCTAAAAGGCTCTGTGATTTGGAAATGGTACGACTGATAATAAATACCCCGATTAGACGCCGCAAAGGTCAGAAACCCGACTGAGATGTCGACACCCAGTTGCTGGCTGGAAACGCAACCCCTAAACATTCTTTCTCTTTCTTTCTTCCTCTCTCACTTTGTTGCTTTTACAGCAACAACGGGTAGTAGTTTGATGGCTTTGTATCTATGTAAATTTATTTACCCAAAATCCAATGTATATCTTTTCCTTGAATTCACGTTTGCCGAGAGGAAGAAGAAATTAGTCTCTATAGTAGTAACAATAACAGCGAGAAGTTCTGTCTTCCATTGTTTGGTCATGCATTGTTCGCTTCCGCAACACTCCTCACTAAGCTTCTTCTTTCACTTTTCTTTCTGGTTACTTATAATTCTTAATGCCCAACAGACGTACTGCTAATGTTTTATTTTTCATGGCTTTCATTCGGGTCCACCTTTTAATTTTTTCCTCATCGCATTCGATCCTTCGTCTTCATTTTCATTTCACTTGATTATTAGCATTAGTCTTCATTCTTTCGAACACAGATATTTTTGTTTTCTTCTTTATTCCTCACCTCCCTCAATTCCTTGTATTCTTCATTTCTTCTCACTCGATTCCTTTTGTTCTTTTTCATTCCTCCTCTCAATAATTCTTCGTATTCTTCTTTCTTGCTCCCTCTCCCATTCTTCGTAATTTTCTTCATTCTTTCTTCTCACTTATTCTTCTTGTTCTTCTTCATTCGCCCCTTCACAATCATTCTCCGTATTCATCTTCATTCTTCCTCTCTCATATTTTTCTTATTCTTCATCCTTCCTCCCCGCTCTCGATTTGTATTCTTATTCTTCACTCATTCTCACAGGATTCTTCATATGCTTGCTCATTTCTTCCTACACTTATTCTTCGTATTCTTCTTCATTCTTCTGCTAAATCCTTCTTTGTATTCTTGTTCTTTACCCCCTCGCTCATTCTTGGTATCTTTCTTCATTCCTTCTCTCACTCATTTTTTGTATTCTTCTTCATTCTTCCACCCATAATACTTCGTAATCTTCTTCATTCCTCTCCTCACACATTCTTTATATTCTGTTTCATTCCTACCCTCACTCATTCTTTGTATCTTTCTTCATTCGTACCCTCACCCATTCTTTGTATCTTTCTTCATTTCTTCTCTCACTCATTTTTTATATTCTTCTTAATTCATTCCTACACTCATTCTTCGTATTCTTCTTCATTGTTCAACTCATAATACTTTGTAATCTTTTTCATTCCTCTCCTCACACATTCCTTGTATCTTTCTTCATTCGTACCTTCATTCATTCTTTGTATCTTTCTTCGTTCGTACCCTCACTCATTCTTTGTATCTTTCTTCATTCGTACCCTCACTCATTCTTTGTATCGTTCTTCATTCGTACCCTCACTCATTCTTTGTATCTTTCTTCATTCGTACCCCCACTCATTCTTTGTATCTTTCTTCATTCGTACCTTCACTCATCCTTTGTATCTTTCTTCATTCGTACCCTCACTCATTCTTTGTATCTTTCTTCATTCGTACCCTCACTCATTCCTTGTATCTTTCTTCATCCGTACCCTCACTCATTCTTTGTATCTTTCTTCATTCGTACCTTCACTCATTCTTTGTATCTTTCTTCATTCGTACCCTCACTCATTCTTTGTATCTTTCTTCATTCGTACCCTCACTCATTCTTGTATCTTTCTTCATTCGTACCTTCACTCATTCTTTGTATCTTTCTTCATTCGTACCCTCACTCATTCTTTGTATATTTCTTCATTCGTACCTTCACTCATTCTTTGTATCTTTCTTCATTCGTACCCTCACTCATTCTTTGTATCTTTCTTCATTCGTAACCTCACTCATTCTTTGTATATTTCTTCATTCGTATCCTCACTAATTCTTTGTATCTTTCTTCATTTCTTCTCTTACTCATTCTTTGTATTCTTCTTCATTCCTTTCCTCACTCATCCTTTGTATTCTTCTTCATTCCTCCACTCTTAATACTTCGTAATCTTCTTCATTCCTCTCCTCACACAGTCTTTGTATTCTTTTTCATTCGTACCCTCACTCATTCTTTTTATCTTTCTTCATTCCTTCCCTCACTCATTCTTTGTATTCTTCTTCATTCCTCCTCTTCTTCTTGTATCGCATTAACAGCCAACTCTAAGCCAACAACTTGTCCCATCGTACTATTTACGTGCACACTTTGTATTCATTTCTACTTCAATCGTTTTTAATTTCTAAATCCATGTCTAATCCTTTTTATCAGCGCAAGATTCTTTGAGACCAGTCCAAATGCTGTCGTGAATATGTTTAATATTGTCAATTATGGATTCCACAGTTCTGTCTTAAAAGTTGTATGCATTTTTCAGAATAACTTCACTTATCATTTCACCTAATTACGTCGTCATAAAAAAAGCAGGAATTTGTCTTTATAAATGTTTGAAATGAATAAACAATGAGATATCATAAATGAAATAAAATACCCATATTTTGAATCTTAATTTCAGAAGCTTTATATTGTAAGTAGAGACACTGTCATTCTGTGCCCTTTAAGAATCAGTACAGACCGTCGTTCAAACATTTTAGTGCTTATCACGTTAATACTGGATTTACAGTGAAAGAGGAATTCGAATACGTCTCTCACTACAGGTTTCTCTTTATTATTTGCTATCTACGCTGTTTCCCCAATGGCATTACGATAATCGCCTGTTTAAATGCGATAGAAAAGTTATTTCCAAAAAAAAGTGACAATACGCGGATTTAAAGAAGGCTTCATCAAGCTTTATTGATTGCTACGACAGGATCAAATCATATTTTTATCAAATAACAAAAACATCATTTGAGGAATTCCAATTACAGCAACAAATAAAACGGATAGTTAAGTTGGTTAAACAAAATAATTTTTTTACAGTGGTGTTCATTCTGTACAAAACCCGGTGGGGTTGCACTCGATGTAGAAGATTACAAAGTAAGAAGCACGTCTTACACGGATATGCGTGGAAGATAACAGGTTACGATTGTAGTGATCAGGGAAGCATAATCTTGGGAGTCGCTTTCTAAAAGATCGTTGAGAGAAACTGCTTGAATCTAACTTACATCTCACCATGACAATATCAAGGAATGGCAGTGGTTTTCTACGATGTGCGAGTCATGGCGGGTCTTAGCCATCAGGGTTAGGACTGGCAAAACAAAGGAATGTTGTTAATCGGAACACACTCTATGGAACCTGTGATAGAGCAGCAAGAGGCTTAAAGGTTTCCAATGAGAAAACTCAATCTGTGTTTTCGTAATAAAAAACAAAATCACCATCGATGATTTTGCTGCGATCTAAAAATCTAGCACTTGGTTGGTACAAGGTCATGTGGAGTATGGAGGTTGTGGTAGAACAGACCAAACTACTGCCAAATGTTTTTCTGTTATAATTGCTACTTGCGGACCGACGTTTTCATTGAGTAAAAAAATAGTTTTCCTTTAATCTACCGTTAATGCTGCCAAGGCCGTTCCACGTTTAAGTATATTAGGCTACTCAAAATTTATTCTTAACTGCCGCATTTGGCATTAGAATTGGATACCAATAACGGAAATTACTTATGACTCATATGCCATGTCGTCACCATCAGTCTCGAGAGCTAACGCATCTTGATATTCTACAACGATGAAAAAACAGAATTTATAATCTGGTGTCTGAGAACGCTAAAGATTTCCCCAATATAAAGCAATGATATTTTTTTTTCGTCGTTGATGACATTTTGGAGAAAATTCTACTAATATACACTGCGTGCTAAATTATTATCGAGATAACATTTTTTCTAATATTTCAAAAACCGTCCAAACAATTCACACAATGTTGGCAACACTGACCTGCGTAATCACTGACATTTTCGTAGTAATCTGCGCAATGTAAACAAACTGGCGCCATATTTGTTATCAGCACGGTGATTTGAGCGTGCTAAATTATTAGAAAGGTTTAATAAAATTCCCAGAATTGAGCAAACAAAACGTTTCTTAATGTTGCATGTGAAAGTTTATGATCAAAAGAAGCTAATAAATAAGATAATCAAACAAATAATAACAGATACAAAGGCACAGTTTTCAACAAATTAATAGGGATTGTGCTTTCCCTGTTTTGAAATTACTTGAAGAAGGCGGTGAACTTTTTCACTGTTTGATGACACCTCCCTATCATTTTAGAAATTTCTAGGGTAGATTTACCTTTTGAGAGTTCTGAGGTGATATTTTTCTTTTCAGCATCGCTTAAATTGCTTTTACGGCCCATCTTTTCACTAAATTCTTACACTTTTCTAGTAATTTGGCACGCTCAAATCACCGTGCTGATAGTAAATATGGTGCCAGTTTGTTTACATTATGCAGATCAATACGAAAATTGCAGTGATTGCGCAGGTCACCGTTGCCAACATTGTGTGAACATTTTGTGTGAATTGATTGAACGGTTTTTTGAAATATTAGAAAAAAGTTATCTCGATAATAATTTGGCACGCAGTGTATGTATTTTGTAAAAACGAAGAAATAATTTTGAAAAACCGGAAAAAAATATCTATCTTTAAGTAACTATTTTGAGCATTAAGAATCCCCGTTTTATATCTTTGCTATATCATTTAATATTTTTCTATATTTTAACGACGTAATATGAATTAAATCCCACGCCTAATCTTAAATTATTACCTCGTTTTTGTAGACTATGCGGCTTACGGAGTCATTTTGCTTTTTTGTTTTTAGTCGTATTCTTTAATTTAGTAACATGTTTTTTCTAGGCTATAATAGATTTCCAAAGATACCTTTAACTGATAATAATAATAATAATTTATTGAAAAAAAACTTAGCGGATATGTTTCTCAGCGCATTTCCCATGGTTTTGAATTCAAAATCGTTGCTTTCATAGCTTCGGATTCAAGCCAAATCTAAAACTTCCAGGTCGGCTTGCTCTTAAACACATAACTGGAACAAGATACGAATTCGGGGCTTTTCCAAGAGACTTTAGTATAAAAATGAATGCAGCTGACTTAGCCGGAATTTGAACTCAGCTCCCAGATTTTCAGCTTGATAACTTTATTCTTAATCATTTCACCCCAACCAAGGTAGTAAAGCCATTAAGACGCAAGCGGTTACTGAGTATGAAATAATATGAAAAAAAGGAAAAATATTATCAAAGAGAGAGCACTATAGAGGAATATGAAGTCAAAAGGCAGAAAAATAACACTTGATATTGCATTTACATTTTTGACGTTGGCCGAAAAGCAAGAAGCCGTACGAGAATTCCGCACGCGGAAAATTCGAGAAAAGATCCTGTCAACATAGAATTTACGGTTGCACGTAAAATGATGAGTTCTCGCGTCCAATATATTCGTAAAGTCTAGGTACCAAAAAGGAAGGTTCATCAAAACAATTTCCATGAAAATATTTAGAGAAAACGCACAGGCAAGCAATACTGCAGTGGTATAATAGTTACTGAGGCCGAGATACGTGGTTAGGACAGATAACATTGCAGATGATTCACCAAATCAGATGTGACAGCAATATTCAAAGCATGGTCTTATAAACGTATGAGACAGAGAGAACTTGCCTAGCACAAAACAGTGAATCTACTTCTGCTACATTAGACCTAGTAATTAAGTCAATATAGTCGTTAAACTTCATGTCAGTGAAAAATATTAGCAATAAATCCCTCTGTTTGATGTGAGCACCAGCCACGCTGAGGGAATCTAAAAAGGTTCTCTAAAACGATTAGAAGAGGACAGTTTTGTTTTGGTGACATTAAAATTAACAGGTCATTGGCTGCGCCAGTTAACGCCATTTTTTAGACCAGCTCCGAAGTTAACATTATCAAACCCATCATCTTTAACCAGTGACTGTTAATCCACTAAAAACACCAAAACATTTTATGCTATTTCTAAAAATTAAATTAAAGTATATTATACCCATCAATTAAATATTTAAAAAAAACAAACATCTGGTATGAATTTAAAAAAATAAAAGTAATTATAGATTATTACCTATTAATGA